AATTGGATTTACTGCAGTGTCTACAGCCTCACAGTAGGAAAGTTCAAGACCCAGGTGGTGATGCTGCAGATGCAGCTAGAAGGCAGCCCTCCTCAGCATCACTAGCAGCAGTTAAATATCTGGACTAACTCATTCCCAGTCTCTGTTTCAGGTAATCACTTGGGTTGTTTCATACTTTACAAAAAAGTTCAATGCCCCTGATTTTCTGGCTGTTTATCTGAAATTTTAATCGTACTTCAGTGGAAATTTCAGGTATTTCAAGCTTTTATACCAATGCAATTTATAATTTTAAATATGTTTTTATGCGGATAGTTAACTGATCTATGCTCCTATAAGGAAGTGAGGTATAAACTGAAATAAGAACAATAGCACGTTTGGTGTAGACTGAGTGCCTGTTCTCTAAAATGTTGCACATACTGGGAGATGGGAGAGGCACCTGACTAATAAGCCAGTCAGAAGTAAAATTTAGTAACACTGTTCTAATTACACTAGAACTCAGAGAAGTTGTTTACATCATCAGGTTCCTTGCTACTAGAGACGTACATTCAGATGTTCACTGAATATTTTGAATTATGTATTAGAATGATAAAAAATATAATTAACTTGCAATGGAAATGGAAGGACTCATCTTTTCCTACAGAAAAAAGAAACACTAAGTAATCATTGATCGCGCCTGGTTAATCCTGTTCAGGAGTGATGGGGTGGCAAGTTTCAAAATAGGAACACATCTCCTGGAGCCACACCCTGAAGAAAATCTATAGTCATTGCCTTTCAAAAATATTTATATTTTTCTTTCACTTTATACTCAAGCAATCTAATACTCTGGTGAAAACACTCCACCATAAAATATAGACAATAAGAGCAAACCATAAATAAAATCTCACAGCTGCTATTACAGGGATCTCTGGCATCCTATGCATAGTTATCTGGCAGTAATTCCCTAGTGCTTACTTTTGACTGTAGAAATTCAACTTGCAAAGCAGACTGTTTCTTAATGAATATTCTTCAGTCATTTGAAATGCAATGTTTAGTTTTTAATTGTAAGTATAAACCATCATGCAAAAAGTGTTACCATTTAAAAGCCTAGAGTGAAGTGGGTACTCCAGTAAAGCAGAAGGGAAAACCTAGCGGCTACTTCAGTTTTTTTTTTTTTAAGTTCTCAAGATTTCTTACTAGGGATGGGATTTTCAAAATTAAAGGACCCCGAGTCTCATAATTCAGCGGGGGTTGTCCCAGGCCAAATGATGGGACTGGCAATCCTCAAACCGGCAGGAGGTAAAGCCCCTACATTCCCATGCCCCTTCTTCAGACCTTTAGAAAATTGCCCTGTTGCACTGTGTGAGTCGCAAGGACCCCTCTGTGACTCACAAAAGTGCATGGGGGGGGAATGAGTTCTGATGGAGGCAGGAGACCCATACACATGGTAGAAAATGACTTAAATTGCAACACTATGCATATCTAACTCAGAAGTCCCATTGAGTCAAATCACCCTTATTCCCAGTTACATGCATGTGGGATTGTAGCCTTAGTTACATCCACATAGATTGAGAATTGCTGCAATGTACAGTGGTGCCTCGCATAACGATGTTAATTGGTTCAAAAAAAACACCGTTCTGTGAAACATCGTTCTGTGAAACACCATTTCCCATAGGAATGCATTGAAAACCGGTTAATCCGTTCCAATTGGAACGGATTGCCATCCTTAAGCAAAAATCCCCATAGGAAACATCGTTGAGGGAAACGCGGTTCCCCAATTGATATGCATTGAAGCCATCTCAATGCATTTGAATGGGTTTGCGAAGTCCCTTTTCGCTCCTGTGAAAGTGCCTTAAACTGTTTGAAAAGTGTTTTAAATGCTTGCAATCGTTAGCCCACCTCCTGAAACGTATGCAAACTTAATTTGGTGTTGTTCTGAGGCGTCCTTAATTTTTGGTGATTTTTTGTTTTTTCTCTCAATGAAATGCATTGGACGGACAGTTCAATAGAGTTCAATGAGAGAAAAAACAAAAAATCACCAAAAATTAAGGACGCCTCAGAACAACACCAAATTAAGTTTGCATAGGTTTCAGGAGGTGGGCTAACGATAGCAAGCATTTAAAACACTTTTCAAACAGTTTAAGGCACTTTTACAGGAGCGAAAAGGGACATCGTTGTGTGAAAATTCCCCACAGGAAACATCGTTGTGTGAGGCGGCAAATTTTTCAGGAAAAGCCATCGTTGTGTGAATTCATCGTTGTGTGAGGCACTCGTTGTGCGAGGCACCACTGTACTCTGAATGAGATGGCCTCTGAGAAGAAAAAGACATTTTTATTTCTCTTAATGTAAAGTCATATTGGAATAGCAGAGTATGTGTTTTAAGGTATAAAGTCTTAGCACCAGGAACAGATGTAGCCCCAGGTACATGGAAAACTGATATTTAAACGCACAGTACTGATTATCCAAATTTTATATCTGGAGTAGAGATGGGAACTGAACCAAGAACCAGAAAAACCCACAAACTGGGGTAGTTTTTGGGCTATGGATCCTATTTTGCTGAAATGAAACAAAGCGATGGACGTATTCTCCTCAGTGCTTTTTTTTATTCAGCAAAAGGGGACACCCACAAGCCCCCCTCTTACTCCCCCCCATTTGGCTCCCTACTTTGGTATCAAGCTGCTACTGCCAACTTCCTCCTCCTCCACCACCTCCCTGTGACCATCCTGACAGGCAGTAGACCTGGGCCGGCTGCATGTGTGTATGCACCTACCTGTCAGCAGAATGGCAGGTTTGTGCACAGAAGCAGTAGGTTTGGCCTTGCTGCCTGTCAGGATGGTCCAGACAGCAACAATGTAGGTTTCAAGAGAAATTAGGCAGGTTAACAAGGGCAGGGGGCGGGGGGGGGCAGGCGGTTCCCCTCCCCCCCCAGGCATGAATCGGTAAAACAAACTGTGAACTGGTTCGCTTTTCCAGGGGTTCATGGGCGGTTTGTAGTTAGTCATGAATCACGAACCATCACAAACCAGCAGTCTTCTGTTTCGTGCCCTTCTCTAATCTGAAGCAACTAGCACTGATTTTATCCCACAGATACAAAGCAAGGGCAGGAACACAAGTATACAAAAGCTAAGTATTAACATAATCAAAGTTCTTCTCTAATCATCTACCCCACCTCCCATTATCTGTGGCATTCAGTGAGTTAATCCCATCCTCATGAAAGAGGTTCTGCAGCTGACATCCAAGGGAGAGGGAGAGCACATCATAACATCAAGAAAAAGAATCCATTCAAGGAGAACGTGAGGACAGATAAGACACTGTTTTTGCTGAATGCTTTTAGGGAAGAGAGAACAAGGAGTTGCAACTTTAATGCAAACTTAACAGATAGTTAAAAGTTGTTTGGGGATATACACACCCTATCCTTGGGCTATCCAACCCTATTTGTCAGCTTGAGAAATCCAACTCCACCTCAGCATACTGTTGACTGGACTCAAAGCATTTATGCTGAGGTGGAACACAACTCTCCTTTCCATAAAGATCAGGTGCCACCATGCTTCAAACAAGCCTATTGACTGTGATTAAGTACTGTAACAAAGTGTGGCTAAATCAAAGAGAGTAGTCATTTTATCAGTTGCCCTGATATCTTCCAGAGCAGGAGATGCATGGCTAAGAACCAAAAAGGAAGACCACAATATAATTGGGCCAGGATTTGTATAAGGTTGTTAGTTTACAGGGACTTAGACCTGACTTAACATGGTTACAAAAAAGGCCATGCTTATAATTATCTCTCTCTCTCTCTCTTTTTCAAAAGCAGCTAGGCAATTGAACAAAAGGTTTTAAAATCAGGCTGCAGTTTCTCAGAGTAATGCCATCTGTCAAAAAAAATGGCACAATGTAAGTTGAAGCTAGCAAGATTTAAAATGACATCATTCAGAGCAATTATATTTGGGGGGGGCAGGGGAGGAAAGCATGGAAAGCAACACCTGGGCTGTATAGGTAGGAACTAAAAACAAATTCTGACCAATGCTGATTTCATATGTATGCATTTCTTCAAATTCACAGTATCTGAAATGTTTTGTGGTAGAGGAGTCAGCAGTAAAAGAAGTTGTGGGAAGATGATACAAAATAAAAGAACAGGTCTGAGAATTCAGAGAAAGGGGCCCCTTGTTGTTAAGTGCTAAAAGTCTCTCACACAGACACCTATTTCCTTTCCTTTTTTCTGCAGAACTTTAAAGGATATCCCTCAGGGATGAAATAGACAAGTTGCTAGCTTTGCAATTGGAAAGGGATATTTTAAAAGTAAAAAGATGTTATTCATCCTAGCATAAGAGTTCCACAACAAAATGCAAATCATTTCCTTTCCTCAAGTAACGCATCATCCAGAGGTCATCATGGACTTCTGTGCAGATTAATTGTGCAGATACAGCAGCTTTGAAAGAACACATCCCAGAAGAATGTTTTATCTCCTAACAGCGAAACTGACATCTTGTATAGTTTGGCCCTTTACTTCTTTATGAACATTGAGACTCAAGCACTGCTGATGTGGGAAGGCAAATGATCTTCGCTTTCAAGGGTGTGGCTCTACTTATTAAGGCTTAACGTTAATCTCCTTCAAAGTGGGGAGGGAAATAAGGCAGAAAAATGCCTGCTGTAACAGAAAAGAAAATGTATGGAAGAATTTCTAATTTTATTCAATACCATTATGCTATACACTGTAATCACATTGCAAAATTCTTAAAGGACTAAGGAAGCCCACCAAGAGGCAGGCCACCACACTTTGCACTTAAGGAAAAAAAAAACCCAAGTGTCTCCACTCTCTATCAAAACTTCTGATTTTAAGAAATGATAATGCCAAAAAAAGAGGGGGCATACCTGTCTCAAGCAGATATATCTGTCTTATGATAGCCCCCCCACATATATATACATATACATATAGATACACACACACACACACACACACACAAAGCAATAGGTTGCCACCAGTAAAAGACCATGCCATTAGAAAGCTACTATTAAACATGACAATCTTATTTGAAATATGTATATTATTTATTTAAAAACCATGACACTTCATTTTTACAATTGTAAATAAAATTATTTTTTAAATATAGGAAGTTCAAAAAAGCACTATGTTCACATTCCCAATTGGAAAAAAAATCTTGTTTGCAATCCTGTTTTGCAGGGAACACTTAAACCAAAGTTCCCTAGTTAAAATGTTACAGGAAACTGTGGTTTAGCAAAGCAGGTAGTATTCTATAAAGCCAAAGGCACAAAAGAAGAAAGGAAGGAAGACAGAAGCAATGAGTCATCTGAGCCTGGCCCACATGTGAACTAATTGCAGAGAGAGAGAGAGAGAGTGCATGGCGTACCAGGCTAATTTCAGCAGAGTTTGCTAAAAGTAGAAATCAGCTGCATAGATTATTTCAACTACTATACATCTATACTTTTTCGAGGTGGTTTCTGGGATTTACAGCATTTCACTTTTTGGAATTTTGAATATTCTGGATTTTTTATGAAGCTTTTTATTAAAAAGTTTATGTTCTATTACACATACTTCTTCGTGGATGAGAGAGGGCTGCACACGCAGAAGGAAAGAGAATAAATTTAACATAAACCGATAGGTATGGGGGAAATCCGATTCTTTATAGTGTGCCCGACGCCCACACATCCTATAAAAAGGCAGAAAAAGAAAAGTAAGAAAAATACATGTATCACAATAAATTACAATATAAAACAATGGGGCATATCCCATCTGTGTCAATTAAAATTCTTTCCGTAGCAGTACAAGCAAGCATTTAACTGTAACTTAATTTTCAGCCATAGTTATTTTCAGAATAACTGGTATAGCCATATGATCCCTGTTTCATAGATTGATTAAGCAATACAGTGGACCCTTGACTTACAGACGGCTTGACTTACAGACTTTTGAGTTACAGACTTCTCTGGCCGCAAAATTTAGGTCTGACTTGCAGCCTGAGAATTGACTTACAGACCAGAAAAAAACCAAAATGGAACAAAAACGGCCTGTTACGGGATTAATCGGTTTTCAATGCACTGTACAGTAGGTCAATGGAGACTTGACTTACAGACTTTTTGACTTGAGAACCGCCTTCCAATACGGATTAAGTTCTCAAGTCAAGACCCCACTGTACTCTGGGAAAAAAGATAAGTCAAGGTGGGAAAATCAGCCCATGGAATACTGTATGATCTCAAAATCATACACCCAAAACAAGGGAATGAGTACAGTGACAATTGCTTATATACAGACTGAAGAAGTCTGTTTTCTATTACTAGTTATGTGCAGTGGGTTAACTCTACCAGCCTACACTGTGCTACTCTACAAACTTCTACTTTGGCAGCTTCCAATAGCATGGTGTAATGCACATAAAAAACCAAATGGAAAAAATATGCTAGACTAGAGCCATAAAGAAAACTGATTCCCAGGAACAATGCAGAGTGTGGAGCAGTCGCCAGGCTAGCTGAACTTCAAGCAGCCGCCAGGCCACTGCTTGTTTATATGACTCTGGGATGCTGCCTTTTCTATGGCTTGCCTAGACCATGGACTGACCACCCTGGGGGATATCCTCTCGCTCAGTGGTTGCTTCCCAGCCTGTTTCAAGTCACTATCCCCTTTTATAATGGCCATGGAACATAAGAAGGCATTTTTAATGGGTTTAAAGTCATCCCTTCTCAGAAAGTAGAAGCTTCTTTCTCTCCCAAAGGGCCTGTTTCTTGTACATAAACATACACATTATAACATAACATTTATATAACATTCAAAATATTCCTTCTATATAACATTTATAACATTAATATCCCACTCTGAAAGATCAAGCAAGCAATTATTTAACAAGGGCCACACTGCTCTAGTTTCATTGTTGACTGCTTTTCACAAAGATGTTAACATATACCTGTTCCAGGAAGCATATATTTATATATACTCCTCTTTTCAAAATCTAACTATAAACTATGAATTATACTGGGAGAAAAGTAGGATGGGGGGGAGAACAGGTTACTTACCTGTAAACATGGTTCTTCAAGTGGATCTCTATGAATACACACCAGTGGGTTAAGACAGCGCCTGCGCTGGCCTCTCGGAATCTTCTAGAGCTATAGGGAAAAGTAACAAAGTTTGAGTTGCCCTGTATTGCGTACACTCCCCCCGCCAAACCACAGTTCCATCCGCCCACCACATAGTCGGAGTTGGATTCGACCATACAGTGACGGACAGTGGGGAGGTTGGGCGGGTTGTGTGTATTCATAGAGATCCACTTGAAGAACCATGTTTACAGGTAAGTAACCTGTCCTTCTTCAACGTGGTCTCTATGAATCCACACTAGTGGGTGACTAGCAAGCTCACTTACCGGAAGGAGGGCCGTCACTGCAGAAGTGATGTAAGCACAGCTCTCCCAAACTTGGTCTCATTCTTGGCCCAGAGGTCCAGTCTGTAATGTGTAACAAAGGTAGACACATTGTACCAGGTTGCTGCTCTGCAAATGTCTTGGATGTCAACTCCTCACAGCAGAGCCGTGGATGTAGCAACAGCTCTGGTGGAATGAGCTCTAAGACCTTCAGGGAGAGGCTTGTTCTGTAATTCATAGGCCAGAGAAATGGTGGAGACCAACCATCTGGACAGAGTAGAAGAAAAGGCAGTAGAACCTTTACGCTGACCGCAGAAACAGAGGAACAGTCAGGGAACTTTTCTAAAGTCTTTAGTTCTAGTGATATAATAAGCCAATGCTCTTCGAACATCTAAAGAATGAGCATGCGCTCAACATCTGAAATTGGATCAGGAAACAAAGTTGGTAATATTAAAGGCTGGTTAACGTGGAACTCGGAAACCACCTTAGGGAGGAAAGAAACATCAGGGTGCAACACCACCTTGTCCTTAAAAAACTGTAGGTATGGGGAGTCCATACGAAGTGATGCCAATTCACTAGCTCTACGAGCAGAAGCGATCACCACCAGGAATAAAGTCTTGAATGAGAGCAACCGAAGGTCCCAGGAAGCCACGGGCTCAAACGGATGGCGAGTGAGGCAACGAAGCACTATTTGCAGTGACCATTGCGGCACAGGTTTCTTTAGAGGAGGTCTCATGTTGGACAGACCCTTGAAGAAAGCTTTTAGTGTGGAATGCGAAAACCACCTGGATGATTCAGAGCCATGGGGCTGAAAGGCAACAATGGCTGAGGTGTAAACTTTCAAGGTAGACTTGGAAAGTCCTAGGTCAAACAGATGTCGAAGACAGAGGAGGAGCGTAGACAAGGCCACAGGTGAAGATTGCAATTTGCGCTCCTCAGTGAACTTGAGAAAGTTTTGCCACTTGTATTTGTAGAGTAGCTTAGTGGTTGGTTTCCTTGCTTTATCAATGACCTCTTTTATTGATGGGAAATCCTCCACGCTGTCAAGTGGAGAGATTCCAAGTCCGGATGAAGGATGCTCCCCGTGTCCTGAGTGATCAGGTGTGGAAGAAGGGGTAACCGTATCCTGTCCACCGCTGATTGCAGGAGCATGGAGAACCATGGTTGTCGTGGCCACCAAGGAGCAATGAAGATAGCTTCCACTTCCATCTGGAGTGTCCTGATCAGAGCTCTTTGAATGATGGGTATTGGCGGAAAGAGGTAGAGGAGCCCTCTGTTCCATGGGACCATAAAGGCATCCCCTAGGGACCCTTCGCCCTTTCCTGCACGGGAAGCACATTTGTCGCACTTCTTGTTGGTCTGTGTCGCGAACATGTCTATGGATGGATGTCCCCACTTGTGGCACAGACTGAGGAAC